GTTTCCTGGGCCATGTCTGTAAATAGAACAATTCTGATCCCAAAAGTCACCTAAGAACAGGAGTAGTTAGTACAACATTGTGAAGTGCATTTTATACTTTGGAAATAATGCACTGGTTATATAGTGCAGTTTTTTAAAGGTTAAGACTAAACATATTGGTATGAAACACCTTTTCCCCTATTTTACCCCACCTCATCGTTAGTCTAGCACTCCTTACCTCTTTGGAAGTTGCATTCTACGTCCTCTTCTGACAAAGCAGTTTGATGAGAAATGTGGATTTTTTGTTTTAAAGATTCATTTTATTGGGAGGGGGATGGAACTACTTATATAACAGTGTATTAAACTATTAATATGGCTGATCTACCCCTATTAAATTTAAACTGGGACTTTTCAAAATTAAATGTTTGAAGACTTCACAATTTTTTTTCCCCCTGCAGTACTGGGGATTGAACTCAGGACCTTCTGCTTGCCAGGCAAGCGCTTATTCTACTGAACCATCTCCTTGGTCCCCAATTTTTTGTTTGTATAGAAACATTTTTTTTTTTTTTTAAAGCAAAAAAGAACCAGAAGGGTATACAATGAAAAATTTGCTTTTCTTCTTTTGCTTGCAGGCTAAGGCAGGAGGATCACAGGTAGAGCCCAGCATGGACAACTTAGTACTACTCTGTTTCAAAATAAAGGGTTAAGGGTATAGCTCAGTACAAAGGCCACATTAAAAAATAGAAACAAAACAAAAAACCCCTGACATCTTACATTTACACAGACTGAATGATTACACCGAGAAATACCTGTATCTTTAGTAAGATAAATATAAAAACTAGATAAAAGTAGTTCATGGCTGGTGAGATAGGTCAGCAATCTAAAGCACCTACTTAGGTGAGCTCAGGCAGGCACAGGGGACTACGGTCCCATCCCCTGCACTATACATACACTAGCCCCGCCCTCAGGGTGGACTGAGTGCTGCCCCCCCAAAAAAAAGTACTTCATAACCAAAAGCCAGACATCTCCAACTCAATTTCTCATTTGGAAGAAATAATATATGTTATTTCCTTTAAAAGTACAGATCTCAGGCTGGTGAAATAGATAGTCTCAGCAGACTAAGAGCCTGCTTAGGCAAGCGAAGGGACTGGGGATTGATGCTGGGAAGCATATGCCGCCACGGCATGGGCGCGTGCCAAAGACGATGGGTGTGGTGGCCACACGTGAATTCCAGCGCTGGGGAAGCTGAAAACATGAGAATCACTAAGAATCTGAGCCGTGTTGTGAGACCCTGTACCACATATTTAAAAAAAATACAAGTACAGATCTCGGATGCAGAAGGCTCACAGCTGGAGGCCACATGGGCAACTTAGCAAGACTGTCTCAAAAAAGGGTGGGGAATGGAGCTTCATGGGAAAGTACTTCCTAGCATGAGGCCTACCATTAAATCCCTAAACATGCAAGAGGGCCTGAGGTCTGAGTTCAATCCTGATAGCGACATGTATTTATATTTGCATTTTTACGGAAGGGCCTATAGGGTGCTCAGGGTCTCACTACTAGATCCGACTCTTAGTGATCTGCCTGTTTACAGCCTCCCAAAAGCTGGGATTATAGGCGTGTACCACCACTGCAGGCCCAGGGATCAAACCCCGGGCCCCTGTGCCTGCTTGCAGGTGCTTTGATCCACTGAGCTATCTGGTGGGCCCTGCAACATTTAAATAAAAAACAAAAACAAAACAAGAGTCATAAAGGAAATATTAAAATTGAGGCTTAGAAGATTAAGCTAAACAAAAAACACTTGGTCCAGGGAACAGGCCAATTTCCTCCCATGTTCATCCCCTTCCCCCCACAAAGTAAGTGTTTCTTACAGGTGGTTAAATAAATGCTAGAAAGTCCTGACAGTGCAGCCAAAGAACCCCAACCTATTATAAAAGCATGAAAACCACTGGGCATAGAATTCTATTTAAATTAAGTACTGCTCAAGCACTTTTAGGAAAGACATCTCTTACAAAAATTCTGTGTTTTACATTTAAGATTATTTGTAAGTCTAGTGTGAGGCTGATTTTTAGGTAGAACTGTAGGGGTGGCTTTCCTGTGCAAAAGTAATGTTATAGCTGTTTCAAAGCATTAAATAACTTTGTCCTGCCTGTGGCTAATGTTTGTACAACTAATAATGATTCTAATTCTAAGCCTGTGGGCTGTATGTCTGACCAGAAAAGACAAAGGACCACTATAGAAGGGAGCCTCGCGAAATTCTTTCTGCCTTGCCTAATTTTTTAACTTGCTTTTTAAAGTATACTAATGTATTCTAGAGTATTTCAATATTAAAACTAAGTAAACTATAGTCCGATACCCCAGAACCTCAAAACACTGGACTACAAGCAAAAGTACTATTTTGAAATTTCTTTATAAACACATTTACTAAACAAAGGTAATATAAAATGTTCAGGAAGGACTGGCCAGATAGCTCAGCAGACTAAAGCACCTACTTCAGCAGAGCACAGCCCTAGATCCCGGGGTGCTGTGCTGGTCCCGCCCCCATGACAGGCTGAGAGGACGACTGAGACTGGGTGTGGTGGCGCATGCCTGTAAACCTAGCACTTCGGAGGCTGAGAACAGGAGAATCACTACAAGTTTGATCTACATAGTGAGACCCTGTATATCCTGTAGACCCTGCCCTAAAATTCATAAAAAAAAAAAAAATTAAAAAATGTTCAGGAGCTAAGTTCAATGATCAATTTAGGAGCAGCGAGATAGTGCAGTGGTCTAAAGTGCCTGCTTAGGCAAGTTTAGGCAAGTGTGCAGGGACCGAGGTTCGATCCCAGCACCACATGCCATGCCAGCACTGTTCCCAGGGTGGGTTGAGACGGCCACAAAAAAAAAAAAAAAAAAAAAAAAAAAAACACAGGTCTCCACTATTAATTTATGTACTATTTTAACTATATATGGGTAAGTTTCTCTTTCAAGATCGTATGGGGGCTGGGGAGATGGCTCAGTAGGATAAGTGCTTGCCTGGCAAGCGGAAGAGCCTGAGTTCAATCCCCGGTTCTGCCAAAAAAAAAAAAAAAAGATTGTATGAATGCCCTACCGGCCCTGCCCCTGGGTGTGCTGAGAGGGCAACTGAAACTGGGCGTGGTGGCGCGCACCTGTAATCCCAGCTCTGGGGAGGCTGTAAACAGGGGGATCACTGTGAGTCCAATCTAGTAGTGAGACCCTGAGCACCCTGTAGGCCCTTCCCTAAAATACAAAATAACTAAATAAAGATTGTATGAAGAGGAGTATAACATAACAGGTGAATATTAGAATCATAATAAACTAATGGTGATTTCTGACTGTAGATCATCACTCTTTCTAGTTGGCACTGTTTTGATCATATATGAGGATTTAGTGGAAGGCTGCTGTTCCAAGGAAAACATTATTTTAAGAATATGAAAAGTATGTAAAATGAGCTTCCTCAAAAGCATACTGTAAGCTCTGGGTTTCAGGATATGCAACTAGGAAAGTAAAATATTATCACGAAGTATTTCATAAAGATGATTATGAAAGGTGATTAAAAACCTAACATTTTATCAGCTTAAATACCTAAAGGTTACATATGTAACCTACCTCTTCCAATAGTTATCTCAGTCACCTGAGTCAAATAACTATTCTGAGATTCAATTTATCTCTGAAATATACATGCAACTTCTAAGGTTACTTCCAACTTTAAAATTCAATGAACATTTGTACATGCTACTTTCTTTGCCTTTCAGCTATCATTTAATCTGGAAAGATGTACAGCAAATAAAAAAATGCCGTCTCACTGAACACACACACACACATTTTAGGAACATATTTTGTTTTGTTTTTTGTAGCTCAGGCTGGCCTTGAACTCATGATGTAGCCCACCCTGGCCTCAAACTAGCAAATGCAGGGGCCAGCCAAATAGCTCAGTGGATTAAATCACCTGCAAGCAGGCCCAGGGGCTGGGGGTTTCAATCCCCAGGCCTGCCACACTGGCCCCGCTCTCAGGGTGCACTGAGATAGTGATTGAGACTGGGCGTGGTGGTGTGCACCTGTAATCCCAGCACTTGGGAGGCTGAATCAGGCAGATCACTACAAGTCCACTACAAGTCCAATCTAGTAGTGAGACCCTGTAGACCGTTCCCTAAAATACAAAAAAAAAAAAAAAAAAAAAAAAGAGAGAGAGAGAGAAAAGAAAAAAAAATTTGAGCCTAGCCTGGGACATTTTTAGGGACTGGGGAGATGGCTCAGTAGAATAAGCGCTTCCCTGGCAAGCACAAGGGCCTGAGTTCAATCTCCAGTTCTGCCAAAAAACCAAAAAAAATCAAACTAGCAAATGCAACCTCCTGTATACTAGGATTATAGTCAAGAAGGATGATTTACTTAGGCTTATATTTATACTTGTATATATACCATACTGCGGTGCAAAAACATACCCCATCTGGCTGTCAAGGTACCAGATAAGTCAGAAAAAGAATTCATACTCAATGAGTGGAATCAGCTGTGGAGATCTACAAAATGAATGTAGGTATGTACTCAAAGAGTTTTCTGGAATCTCTCTCAAAGTCTCTGCTTTCTCTTTAGTGTTTCTAGTCTCTTATTATTTACTTTTTAGGTACTGGGAATTGAACTTATGACCTTGCGCTTGCCAGGCAGGGGCTGTACCGCTGAGCTACATCTATGGCCCAACTAGTCTTTTATTTTTCATCTGTTTTTAAGGAACTGACATTTAATACTCAATTTTAATACCCAATGTTTGCCACTTGTTCATATCAGTTCTTTGAAATAGTACAGCCAATGATACGTGCTATGTACTGTTTATAACATTAGCTAAAAGATGTAGATGTCTCAATTGAATTCAGTGGTTAGAGAACAGTAATAAAAATTCAGTTGTCTCAGGATTTTAGGTATTGTGTATTTTATACATTTCTATGTCCTGTAATTTCTCACTCAAGAAAACACTCTATTCCTAAATATTTATTGTATCTCTCTCTGCTAGAAACAGAAGAAAACTTTCTTTCTGACAAACTTGTCCCAGACGAACAAAATAAATGCTTTCTCAAATTAGAGCCCAAGTCTTCTTTAATGTCAGTACATGATAATTAGGACATAGTAGCAGTCTTAAATTTCACGCAAACTATTACTAAGATGGTGTTTTGGGCCGTTTTGCAGATGGTTCATCTGAATTAGTTCTTTTATCAATGTCATTTTCATCTTCTGCACCATCTTCGCCATTACCTTTTAAAATAAAGATTTGTTGTATAACATTATGTTCACTAGGTGAGAAATAGAGATAAGAGATAAAATGTTTGGCATAAGACTTTCATTTTACGGATTAATACAATCATGCATACTTTACACTTAAAAGATTTCAGGAATTTCAGTACTTAAAACATCTTTTCCACTTTCTTTTTCTGAGACACAATTCTTTGGCCATAAAATGCACTCTTCTATCACCTGTACCACATGCTGCACCAGCCCCAGCCCCAGCAGTGCTAAGCCAGCCACCGAGTCTGGCCATAGAATGCACTCTTCTAAAAGCACACAGCTCAAGGGTTTTCTGCATCTCTACTTGCTTGCTTGTGTAGCCCCATAAGCACCAATTCTGGCATGCTTCCATTACCCCCAAATTACCTCCCTATTCACTAGCAGTCACTTTCCATTCCCCTCAGCCCTTGCAACTACTGGTCTACTTTCTGCCTCTATGGATTTGCCTATTCTGGACATCTTACATAAATTCAATCTATAATAACATGGCCTTTTTTGGGGTCTGATTTATTGTTTTCACGGTTCATTTGTATTGTAGTTGGTAGCAATACTTTATTTTATATTGCTAATATTCTATTGTATGGACACTCACAAATTGCTCATGGATCAAATTGACATCTACATTTCTGCTTTTTAGCTCTTAAGAATACTGTTATGAACATGTGTACGTTTTTGCGTACAAATACTTCCAGTTCTCTTGAGCCTCGCAATGGAATCACCTTATAATTTTATGTTCAGTTTTTGAGGAATTGCTAAGTGTTTTAAGTGGTTACACCACTTTACATTTCCACCAACAATGTACAAGGTCTTCAATTTGTTCACGTGCTAGCCAACACTTGTGTTTATTACAAGGAACATGCACATTAGCAAGATGGAAACAAAAAAAAAAAAATGGAAACAATATGAAAAGTAAAATACAGTTTAAGTTCATTTAAAGAACAGCAAGCACTGACTACCAAATCTAGTTCTTAACGTTTTTTTTCAACTCAAGGCTGTCAAAAATACACCTTTTTGAAGAATATATGCAGTGTATCATTTGTTGAAACTGTCCTTCCGATTTGATTTGAAACTGTCTCATTGCTATCTGTTTGTCAATAAAACTTTGAAAAAAAAAATAATAAAAAAAAATACACCTTTTTTTCCCTTCAAAACAAGATTTCACGGTTCTACCTCGAAAGTGAAGCTACAAAACTAACACATGGAAGAGGGTCCCTGGGTTAAGGTTAAGACTTCTTAAAATGAACTGTTCCCATCTTCGGAAGCTGCAAATCTTTCAAACAACTTCACACAAGGTAAAAGTCCTTTTCCTCTTTCAACATTCAGCTCAACATGCCCTTTCTGGGTTTTCCTGTCCTGTAACAAAGGGCCACAGAACCACTTTCACTCTTTAATAACGTGTCTGCCCGTCTCATGCTTTGCGTTCAGCAAGGGCAGGAAGAGTCGCCTTTACTGCATTCTTTCTCCAGACCTCAGCCCAATTCTAAGCACAACAATATATATACACATGGTGAAAGTACTAGGTAAAAACAGCTTCCATAATACGGCATTAAGTACGATTTTTGGATGCAGTTCTTTGCTCGAGGCTCCCTTTCTGCACAAGGCCACACACCCGCCCCGCCCTCCGGTCCTTCCAGCATCAAAGGCTCACCCTCCAGCATCTCGTCAGGATCCGCAGTCACCTGGTCCTTCGCTTCCTGCTGTACCAAGGGTTCGAATAATTGGTTTACCAGCTCCTTCATCTGGGCCACACTCGATGACAGCTTCTGGAGATGGTCGGCGTCACCGGACGCTTCACAGACGACTCGCACCTGCCGCCGCTCCCTGTCCGGCCCGACGTACTCGGCCAACAACTCCATAACGACCGTTTAGCTTCAAGCGCGCGCCACAAGAAAGCCGCACCCGGAAGCGAAAAGCAGCTCGTCCGGAGTGCAGGCGGGAGAAGGGGGAGGAATGACTTCCGGTTGTCGGAAGTCGCTCCTCCCGCTTCCTTCGTTTTCTCTCTCTGCGGTTGGTTCTTGGAACTCAGGCCCCGCCTCCTTCGCCACGCCCCTCACTAGTGCTTTTCCCGCCTCCGCCTCCGCCGGGGCAGAGCGGCGGTCCTGGTGACAGTTGAGGATGGCTGGTGCTGAGGGGCATGCTGGGCGGCAGTCGGAGCTGGAGCCCGTGGTGTCGTTGGTCGACGTACTTGAGGAGGACGAAGAGTTGGAGAACGAGGCGTGCGCAGTCCTGGGCGGCAGCGACGCGGAGAAGTGCTCCTACTCGCAGGTGGGCGCGCAGCCCGGGCCTCGTGTGGCCAGAGCTCCCCTTGGACCTCCCGGGCCTTCCCGGCCGCACTCTCCTATTCCCGCCCGCCGCCTTGGTCCCCCTCGGGGTGGTCCTGGCCCGCGGGTGGCTTGCGTTCCCACGTCGGGCCCGGCCGCCTTTTCCTCCCCAGCGATCCCCGCTCGTTTCCTCCGCCGTGTCCAGCAGGGGCCCCCCTTCTCCTGTCTTCGACGGCTGCGAATCTCCAGGCTTTGGCCCTGGTGTCGCCGGTCTGTCTTGCCAGTCTCTTCTTGGTGGTCCGAATGCTTTTCACGAAACCGTGCCCGTGACCTCGCGAATCCCGACAGACATCTTTGTCTCTGCTTTCCTATCCGGAGTATTTATTAGGGACCTAACGCAAGGTCAAAATAGAGATGAGAAGCTTTGGATTTGAAAATTACCGTGTGCGCAGTGGGCTTCCAAATGGCTCTGCAATACTGGTTCGGTGCTCACCTAGTGCTTTTTTTTTTTTTTTTTTTAAGAAACAAAGCAAATATCCTGTTTGCAGTGCGAATTCTCTTCCCCCAGAAATACACTAAGACCAGAACAGCAGGTGACTGTAGCCAGAAAGAAGAGGATTTGTTTTGCATTTGGAATACTTCATGAATAAGGGTTTGAGGGGGTGTGATGTGGTGTTTTATGACTCATATTTCAGGGTACAAAAATGGAGAAGGGGGTGTAGGAAGAAAACGAACAGGTTAAAAGTTGGTGGAAGGAAGCTTACTTCGAGCAGGGCTCAAATAGGTCATTTAAGAATGAGGGGAGGGGCTTGAATTTGATCGTAATTTTGTTTGCGTTTTTGGGTTGTGCTGGAGCTTGAATCCAAAGCTTGATGCATTGTTGGGTAAGTGCTGTCCCGAGCCACGTTCCCCCACTCCTGATGTCAGAATTTAACCTGTTGTCACCACTGACCAAGTGGAGCTCACACTGCAAAGTAGTCAGATTGTTGAATAAATCTGATGTCCAGAGACAGTCTCAGGTGTTAGCTAGTATTGAGAGCTTTATTCAGTTACTACTGAAACAACTTTTTTCTGGTTAAAAAGAAAAGGTCTTAAGTCTGTTTTTGAAAGTCCTTATTAAATGGACTTCCTTAAATTTTTCTTACTACAGTAAAAAGTATACAAAGATTTACATAAGTCATATGTATAGGTTGAAAACAAGGTGTACACATACATGTGCCCTCCACCCAGATTAAGAAATAGAGTATTACCAAAGCCTGCCGCTCTAGAGGAGGGTGCCCCTTATTAAGATTTGTAAAACTGTGGCTGGTTTTCCTTCAACTTTTTTTTGTTTTTGTTGGAGTCAGGGTCTTGCTATAGTCTTGAACTGACTTCATAGCCCAGGCTGCCCTCAAATTCACAGAGATCCTCCTGCCTCAGCCTCCCAAGTACTATGATTATAGGCATGTGCCATCAGCTTTTTCTTTTGAAACATCTTACATCTACAATCAAGTGCAAAAATAGTGTGAGCATCTTAATATGCCTCTTAATATGTATTCGCTTTTTAATATTTTGTCACATTTGTTCTTTCTCTCCAACATCTAACACACTTTGCTGTGTTTAGAATTGCTTAAAAGTTGAAGATGTCATGACCATACACTTACAGATAATTTGCATCCAAAAATCCTAAAAACCCAAGGGATTCCTTTCATACTTTGATTTTTTTTTCCTTTGGTGCAGTTATAAGCATTTTCCAGATTTAAAATGTTATATTACTAACAGCAACATATACACACTGACCTACATTTTCTTTTTATATAGCTCGGACTCGTGATCCTACTGTTCTCAGTCTCCCCATTGCTGGGATTACAGGCCTGGGCACCGCCTGTGGCTCAGAGCGCCCAGGTGCAGGGTTGGGGGCGATCAGACCCAGTTCCTTTGCTTGCTTAAGCGGGTGCTTACGCCTCTGAGCTATCTGCTGGCCCATTGATCTACATTTTCATGCAGACTAGCTCATTCATAGATGATTCACAAATTTAAAATTCATAATACTTTAAGAAAAAATTATATGAAAAGAAACAGTATAGAAATGAAATATGCAACAGTATTTTGGTTCTCTTCTATGAGCATTTTAAATAGTATTTTTATGGGATTTTTTTTTTTTTTTTTTTTTTAACCAGAGATCAGAACTCGGAACCTTGTGTTTTCTAGGCAGGTGCATATGCCACCGAGTCATTACCCCAACGCTTTATGGAAAGATCCTGATCACAGCTAATCTGATTTTATTTCTCAAATCTTAGTGTTCATATTAGGTAACTATGCCATTGTGTGTGTATGTGTGCATGTGTGTGCGTGTGTGCGTGTGTGTGTGTGTGTGTGTGTGTGTATTTAGTGCAGGGTCTACAGGGTCTCACTACACAGATCAGGCTCACAGTGATCCTCCTGTTTTCATCCTCTGAGTGCTGGGGTACAGGCACACGCCACCACACCCAGCCTGTCACCCTCTTGGCATGCCCCGAGGGTACAGACCTGGTCCCTGCATCTGCCTAAGCAGGCTCTTCAATCCCTTCAATCCGCTGGGCTGTCTGACCCGCCCAACTCTGCCATTTTGTTAACTTACTCTCTTCTGTTTTGGGGCTCTCAGGGCTCAGTAAAGAGACAAGCACTGTACGCCTGTAGCACCTGCACTCCAGAGGGCGAAGAGCCAGCAGGAATTTGTCTGGCCTGCAGTTATGAATGTCATGGAAGCCATAAATTATTTGAGCTCTACACAAAAAGGTACTGAAATAATTGCTGCATGTGTTCTAAACAGCTTCTTTCCCACTACAGATTTTTCTTAATGTTTTTTTCATTCAAAGTAATTATACACTAGAGAGATTTAGTATAATCAGAAGGTTTTTCCATAAGACCTTCTACAATATAATTATGGTACAAACCGAAAGTACTCATCTTTTGTTTCATTTTATTTTATTGGTCCGGGAGATTGAACTCAGGACCTTGAGCTTGCCAGGCAGGCGCTTACGCTGCTGAGCTATCTACCCAGCGCTCTTTATTTTTTGTTTGGACGAGTGATGTCTTTATTTATTTAGTTTCAAACAGTCTTGCTCTCTTCCCAAGGTTGGCCCTAAATTCCTGGGCTCAAGCAGTTTTTGCCTCAGCCTCCCTAGCAGGCAAGACTACAGGATAGCACCATTGATGTGTATTTATTTTGCATATTAATTTCCAGAAGTGTAAAATATTTATAGTTACATGCTTGGGGAAATTCCAAATCAGATACATGAACAACAGCCAAAGCCATTTTTTAGATCATCTGAGTGAGTCAGAAAGGAAGAGGATATGATTTGAGTTTAAAGAGTACCTCATGAGAATAAAAAAAAAATTAAATTGGTACTTCTTTTTTTTTTTCAGAAATTTTCGTTGTGATTGTGGAAACAGCAAGTTTAAAAATTTGGAATGCAAATTATTTCCTGTAAGTAAACATCATAACTACAAATATAGTTAAAGGAGCGAAGGTCTATATTTATGCCAGAGTAGGTAAACAGCTATTTTCCAAAATGGAAATGCTTTTGTTTATGCTTTGAAGATGGACATTTCATTTCTTTCATTTTCAGAAAATCTGTTCAGAGCCTCTGATACAGATTGTAATTAATATGAAATGGTTTACGGGGAAAACTTGAAAGTGATTCAGATTTACTTATATTAGTTATGCTTATGTTTTGAGGCTTTTAAAGCATAAGTTATGAGTTTTCTAACAGCATAAGGGCTGGCCAGATAGCTCAGCGGACCAAAGCGCCTGTTTAGGCGGAGTCCAGCCCTGGGGGCATGCTGAGATGGCAGTTGAGTGGCGTGGTGCTGCACACCTGTAATCCAGCTCTTGGGAGGCTGCAAGCCGGAGGATCACAGTGAGTCTGAGCTGTGTAGTGAGCCCCTGGAGACCCTGTACCAAATACATTAAAAAAGAAAATAAAACAGCATAAATAAAACTTGGTAATGATATGAACTAGAAGCATGCTGGACTTATCACTGTATTTTGGCTAATGAAAACTATGATTTATGGTAACTTTTTGTGAAATACTGTTTAAAAGAGAAAGTAAGGAACACCACATTTTCATTCATAATTGATAGAACTGTCATACACCCCACCCCAGGTTAATTGTAGTTTTTTTTTTTGTTTGTTTGTTTTTTTGCGGAACCAGGGATTGAACTCAGGCCCTTGAGCTTGCCAGGGAAGCACTTATTCCATTGAGCCATCTCCCCGGCCCCAATTTTAGATAATTTCTTTGCATCCTTTCTGCCTATACATTACATGAGAATTTTGGTTACTACAGCTAGGCACAAGCAAGTGTTGTAACTTGAAATTCTAGGCCAGTGTCAGTTCATATAAGTTGGTAATTAATATTTGTGATTCACTTGTCTTTTTATTGAATTAATGTGTTCAGTTTTCTTCAATTGCTACAAAGAAGATAAAGAAAGTTACTTTTTCCCTATACCTTGCAAAAAATATCTCTCAAATAGTAATGAATTTTTTTTCTGCAGGTTTTAAAAGTTAAAGATTAGCTTGAGGGAGAACATACTTAATGCAGAAATTTGTTGAATTATAAATTGTATGATGCATGAAATTATATTTAAAATTAGACTACATTATATACTGAAATTTATCTTCCAGGACAAAGCAAAGGTAAACTCTGGTAATAAGTATAATGACAACTTTTTTGGATTGTACTGCATTTGCAAGCGACCTTATCCTGACCCTGAGGATGAGGTAAGAGAATTGGAGGATGAGCCTGGGACTGTTATCTCTAGCCTGACGTTACAATCTGTCATACCCGAGTGGCCGGAGCTGTGCAGGAGGCATTTCAGGATGCTCAGGGATTCCAGATTTGCCTCTTTCTACGTATCTGGTTGAGTCTATCAGTGGTACAGATTTCCATTATCCTCATTCTGACACCATCAGAATGTACTGCAGAGACTCCTTCAAGGCCAGAGCTTCTTTCTGTCTTTCCTGCTTCCCTACCCCACCCCACCCCCTCACTTTGTAAGAAATGACCTTCAACTTTTTTCCTTCCTGAAAGGAAGGAATGGTGTACAAACCAGTACTAAGTGTACTCAAAATTTTATGAATTTTTCTTTTCTGTTTTCCGTACCAGGGATTGAACTCAGAACCCTGCGCTTGCCAGGCAAGTGCTTAGTCTACTGAGCTATCTCCCTGGCCCATGAGTTTTTCTTTACGCCTGTGTTTCTTAACCTCCTGACCGCATTCACTGTTAACACTTTTTTGGTTTATGTTTTCAGGCCTTTCTGTGTATACCTAAATATAATATTTCAGAGTGTGTAGTTTCTTTTAATAAAAGTGAAAATTCCATACATTTTCTTCTGCCCCTGGCTTTTCTCACTTATCAGTGTATCGTAGGCATCCTTCTGTGTTGAACAGTACAGATCTAACTTGTTCTAACTGCTGCAGCATATCTCATAAATTTGACATGCGTCTAAGCCATAACTAAGGTATCCTAACTGTTCCTCTGTGGTAGGGTAATATCGTCTCATTTTTTACTGTTAGGAGAGTGCAGTGGTCATCCCTGTACCCTTGCATAGCTTCGTGTACTCCTCTGAGCATGCTGAATGGGTGTCCAGAGGTGCAGCTGACTGGTCAGAGGGTATTTGTGTTTAAAATTGTGATCATGCCTGCCAAGTTAGCCAACTAAGTGTATGATAGTTTTTCCTCCAACGTTCTTGTCAACACTAAGCATTACCAGTCCTTTAGGATCCTGCCATTCTAACAAGTGTAGGCTAGTATCTTCTTAAATACTTTGTTTTCCTCCTCAGCAGTTATTCATGTTTTTGAGCTTAGTGGGCATTTATAATCACCTCTGAATTGTCTTCGTATCTCTAGCCCTTGTTTTGATTGGGTTGGATTTTAGTTTACATGTGTACTGATTGGAAAGAGTGCTTTTTTTTTTTTTTTTTTGGTGGAATCGGAGATTGAACTCAGGCCCTTGCACTTGCCAGGGAAGCACTTATTCCACTGAGCCATCTCCCCGGCCCCAAGAGTGCTTTTTTTGTATTTAGAAAAATGAGCTCTCTTCTCCCTTTCTTCCTTTCTTTTTTTTTTTTTAAATTTATTTATTTATTTATTTATTTATTTATTTGAGAGAGAGAGAGAGAGAGAGAGAGAGTGAGTGTGTGTGTGTGGTGTGTGTGTGGCCAGCTCAGCCCACCAGGGGGCGGGGCTGGCTGGCATGTGGTGCTGGGGGATCGAACCTCGGTCCCTGATGCTTTGCTAAGCTTGTTCTAAGTAGGTGCTTTAGACCACTGAGCCATCTCCCCAGCCCCTCTTCCTTTCTAATTAACTGTATTGGAATTGTAACTATTGAACTGAATTATATGGAGAACAAAATTGAAAATGTGAGTGGCCAGGGAGATAACTCAGTAAAATAATCGCTTGCTTGGCAAGCGTAAGAGCCTGAGTTCATTCCCCGGTTCCACCAAAAAAAAAGAAAATGTGTTTGAGTTAACAAAAATAAAGTGTACAGGGCTGGGAAGATGGCTCAGTAGAAGAAGTGCTTGCCTGGTTAAGTGCAAGGGCCTGAGTTCAATCTCCAGTTCTGCAAATAAATAAATAAATAAATAAAAAATAAAAAAATAAAGTTTAAAACTGGCTATGTTAAGGTATGGAGTAAAGTGTTACTTATACTGTTGAATAAAAATAAAAAAAAGATGACTACATTGATGGATGGAAGGAAAGAAAACAATTGCTTTGTATTGTGTGTGTGTGTGTGCATGTGTTTCCTTTGTTTTTGTTTTTGTTTTCCTAAACTATCAAAAGGACAAAACAACATGTTAAGAAGTTAATTAGTAGATGAAGCCTGAGGAAAAAAGGAAAATTATTCCCAAAATAGTTTATGTCCTTGATATGCAGTTTTCTTGGTTAGATATTTTATTATTTAATTTGCTCAATTGAAGTAGTCCACATTATCAGGAGGTTGTTGATAACATTTACTTTTCAATTCTACTTGGCAGGATGTTGTAATAAAAAGTCCCAGCTCTCACATTATGTGCTGGCCAATTCACCTTCCTTCATTGGGTTTAGATGGGAAAGCCTTGCTAATCCAAAAAGTTTTGTAAGAGATATTAAGTGTCTGGTAGAAAAGAGCTTTGATAACTGCATACTGGGCACTTATGCCAGTGTAAGCCTCTAATACCAGTGCATGCAGAGTGAGTTTATTTGTCCTCTTAGCTGCTGTTATGTAAGTAGTTATCACAGAAGTGACAGAGAATTTTTTTTTTTTTTTTCATTTTGCAGTTCTGGGGACCAAGTCTTGGATCTCATATATGCTCTGCAAGCCTTCTATTATTGAGCTACACCCTTAGCCTCAAGAATTATTTAATATCCAATTCTACTTGTGCCAGATTTACTTCCAGGTCCCAGAATTTAGTGTCATTATTAACAAACAACTTTTTCTGTGTTAGGTTCCAGATGAGATGATCCAGTGTGTAGTCTGTGAAGACTGGTTCCATGGACGAGTAAGGAAAACTTTTCCCTTTTAAAACTTTTGTATCCACAAAAGATAGATGATCTTTTCTTTTTGAATTGTTTAATTTCACATTATAATTACTCCTCATTAAAAAAACCCCTAAGACTGGGTGAGGTGGCACGCGCCTATAATCCCAGTGCTTGGGAGGCTGTAAACAGGAGGATCACTACAAGTCTGATCTGTGTAGTGAGACCCTGTACTAAATACATTAAAAACAAACAAAAAAACTAGAGCAGGAAAGGGGATAAGAAAATTAAGATATGTTACGTATATGTACCAGCTCCACATGATGTAATTATCTTACACCTCAGTAAAAACTGTAAAGTTATGATCAGGGTACTGTGGTAGTATTTGTTTATAAAACAGTGAGTATTGTGGGCATTTAAAACAATAATTCCATTTTTTAATTGACTTAAGTAAAACTACGTAAAAATAATTTATTTGAAATTCTAGAAAAAGCAAAACTCATTAATTGATAGAAAGCAGGTTCGCAGTTGAGGAGGTTGACTGCCCAAGGCAGGAGGGAGCTCTAGGGAAGACGGCGGCTGGTGGTAGTGTGGGTGTGTACATTACTAAAGCTCCAGGCGGACAGCGTTTGTATCCTGTGAGCCAGCCAGCTTCCGGGAGGTGTAGTGCAGTGTGCACGGACCTGCGGGCGGAGACACTTCTGGGAAGAATCCGTGTGCAGTGTGCCTTTGCAGGGGAGTGGTGCTCTTGAAAGTAATGAGTTCCTGCCTTCAGGTCCCTCAGCTAGGCAGGCGTGGGTACTGATTAACGTGGGCATTTTAGACAGCTTACAGATTATGAGAAAAACATAAAATTTGTTTTGTTTTAAATTTATAGCATCTTGGCGCCATTCCCCCTGAGAGTGGGGACTTCCAAGAGATGGTGTGCCAGGCTTGTATGAAGCGTTGTTCTTTCTTATGGGCTTATGCTGCGCAGTTGGCAGGTAGGTGCCTTGTGAAGTTGATGTGACCCAAACTTGTGCTTGTGGAATTTGTATTTTCAGTGCAGGATTTTTAGCAGTTATTTTGGACTCTGAGGTACAATTGCTCAGAAGACCACTTGGGACAGATCTGAACTTAAATGGTGTGCAGCGGAGTATGTGTGAGATTAGAATTAGAGAAAATGGAAGAGCTGTATTTGGTTTAGTTTGGTTGTGGTACTGGGGATAGGACCGGCGGCCTCTGACTGAGTTACAGTCATAACTTTTCATTTTTCCTTTTTGAGACAGTGTCTCACTAAATTGACCAGGTTGGCCTTAAACTTTCAATCCTCCTGCCTCAGTTCTGAAGAGTATAACATCATACTCAGTGAGGGAGGCAGTTTTTGAATGGGAGTTTGAAAGATAAAGAGAATTAAAATAAATTATAGCTAAATGTAAAAAGATGCCCTATTGGTTGAGGAGGTGGTGGTGTCTTTTTTTTTTTTTTTTTTTTTTTTTTTTTTTTTTGCGGAATCAGGGATTGAACTCAGGCCCCCAAGGAAATATCTAACAAAATAAATAACACTACATAAAATGTTAAGGTCCTGAAAGACAAAGATTGAATAACTTTCCAGAATTTGAAAGACTAGAGTCTTTACCTTACCCTGCCCCCACTGCTTCGCTGACCCCAAGAGCCTTGTGTATAGCAGTCCCACCACTGGACCCAGTGGATGGGTGCAGAGCCAGCTGCAGGTTAATTGTGTGTCATAACAGCCCCACAATAAAGGGCTTTCAATCTCAAATCCTGTATCTGGTCAAAGTGACATTCAGCCTATCCAGGTTAAACT